AAAGCAGTTATGTTGCATCTTCTTATATTTCTTGGTCTGGCTTGGCCAACTGTTTACAGTGCTTCCTCATTATACCATCTTCAGTCTGTCTGCTGCTGTCTTACTTTTCCCTTAAATAAGACCCAAAGAATTTATAACAAATGATTAGCTATATGAAATAGATACTTGTACTTCTACATACCTATTTTTACCATAATATTCTGCTACTAACACATCAAAGCAGCTGACAAAAGCAAAATAGAAATATTAATAAAATTCAAATAAAGCCTTCTATCAAGAGAGGAAGGCTCAGAGAACTTTGATTATTGGGCAGTAAAGAAATGTTAAGTATAAAGATCAATCAAAACATAAAATTATATTTAAAGAAAATAATTGTGCAAGTAAAGTAGCTGTAAGTATAGGAAATGTAAATTTCAACAGACCAGGAGGCCCAAATCATTTGCCTGCCTATTCCAGAGACTGTGTACCTTTTCCAAGGCTTGGCCATGCCAAATTAATATTAAAAGTATTTCAAGGAAGATTTTTTTTTTTTTTTTTTAGTAAGGCACTATGAACTGAGACTCCTTCATCGATCACTGCCTTGTCCTGGCGAAGGGGCTTGCGTAGCTCAATGAAGCTATGAGCTATGCTGTGCAGGGTCACCCAAGATGGACAGGTCATAGCAGAGAGCTCTGACAAAATGTGATCCACCGGAGAAGGAAATGGCAACCCACTCCAGTATCTTTGCCATGAAAACCCCATGGACAGTACCAAAAGGCAAAAAGATATGACGCCGGAAGATGAGCCCCTCAGGTCGGAAGGTGTCCAATATGCTACTGGGGAAGAGCAGAGGGCTAGGACTAGTAGCGCCAGAAAAAATGAAGCGACTGGGTGAAAGCCAAAAGGACACTCAGTTGCTGATGTATCTGGTGATGAAAGCAGAGTCCAATGCTGCAAAGATCTATACTCCAAAGGAACCTGGAATGTAAGATCCATGAATCAAGGCAAGCTGGATGTGGTCAAACAAGAGATGACAAGACTGAACATCGACATCTTAGGAATCAGTGAACTAAAATGGACAGGAATGGGTGAATTTAATTCAGATGACCATCAGGTATACTACCGCAGGCAAGAATCCCTAAAAGAAATGGAGTAGCCTTCATAGTCAATAAAAGAGTAGGAAAAGCAGTACTGGGATACAACCTCCAAAATGACAGAATGATCTCAGTTCGAATCCAAGGCAAACCATTCAACATCACAGTAGTCCAAGTCTATGCCCCAACCACTGGTGCTGAAGAGGCTGAAGTTGACTGGTTCTATGAAGGCCTACAACACCTTCTAGAATTAACTCCAAAAAATGATGTCCTTATCATCATGGCGGATTGGAATGCTAAAGTAGGAAGCCAAAAGATAACCGGAATAACAGGCAAGTTTGGCCTTGGAGTACAAAATGAAGCAAGGCACAGGCTGGTAGAATTTTGTCAAGAGAATACGATGGTCATAGCAAACACTCTTTTCCAACAACCCAAGAGATGACTCTACATATGGACATCACCAGACGGTCAACACAGAAATCAGATTATGTGCTCTGCAGCCAAAGATGGAGAAGCTCTATACAGTCAGTAAAAACTAGACCAGGAGCTGACTGTGGCTCAGATCATGAGCTTCTGGTTGCAAAATTTAGGCTTAAGATGAAGAAAGTAGGGAAAAGCACTAGGCCACTCAGGTATGACCTAAATCATATCCCTGATGAATATACAGTAGAGGTGACAAATAGATTTAAGGAATTAGATCTGATAGACAGAGTGCCTGAAGAACTATGGACGGAGGTTTGCAACATTGTACAAGAGGTAGCAACTAAAACCATCCCAAAGAAAAAGAAATGCAAGAAAGCAAAATGGCTGTCTGAGGAAGCTTTACAAATAGCTGAGGAAAGAAGGGAAGCAAAAGGCAAGGGAGAAATAGAAAGATACAAACAATTGAATGCAGAATTCCAGAGAATAACTAGAAGAGATAAGAATGCCTTCTTAAATGAACAATGCAAAGAAATAGAAGAAAACAATAGAATAGGGAGGACCAGAGATCTCTTCAAGAAAATTGGAGATATGAAGGGAACATTTCATGCAAAGATGGGCATGATAAAGGACCAAAATGGCAGGGACCTAACAGAGGCAGAAGAGATTAAGAAGAGGTGGCAAGATAACACAGAAGAACTATACAAGAAAGAGGTTAACATCCCTGATAACCACGATGAGGTGGTCACTGACCTCGAGCCAGACATCCTGGAATGTGAAGTCAAATGGGCCGTAGGAAGTCTGAGCAACAACAAAGCTAGTGGAGGTGACAGTATTCCAGCTGAGCTATTCAAAATCCTAAAAGACGATGCTGTAAAAGTGCTACACTCACTATGCCAGCAAATTTGGAAAACTCAACAGTGGCCACAGGATTGGAAAAAGTCAGTTTACATTCCGATCCCAAAGAAGGGCAATGCCAAAGAATGTTCAAACTACTGCACCATTGCACTCATTTCACATGCTAGCAAAGTGATGCTCAAAATCCTACAAGCTAGGCTCCAGCAGTATGTGGACCGAGAACTACCAGAAGTACAGGCAGGACTTCAGAGAGGGAGAGGAACTAGAGATCAAATTGCCAACATATGCTGGATCATGGAGAAAGCTAGGGAGTTCCTGAAAAACATCTACTTCTGCTTCATTGACTATACTAAAGCCTTTGATTGTGTGGATCACAACAAATTGTGGCAAGTTTTTAAAGAGATGGGAGTACCAGACCATCTTATTTGTCTTTCGAGAAACCTATATGTGGGTCAAGAAGCAACAGTGAGAACTGGACACGGAACCACTGATTGGTTCAAAATTGAGAAAGGAGTTCGGCAAGGCTGTATACTGTCACCCTGTCTATTTAACTGATATGCAGAGCACATCATGAGAAAGGCGGGGCTAGATGAATCACCAGTTGGAATTGAGATTGCTGGGAGAAATATCAACAACCTCAGATATGCAGATGATACCACTCTCATGGCAGAAAGTGAAGAGGAACTAAAGAGCCTCTTGATGCGGGTGGAGGAAAGCACAAAAGTTGGCTTGAAACTCAACATTAAGAAAACTAAGATCATGGCATCTGGTCCTCTCACTTCCTGGCAAATAGATGGGGAAGAAATGGAGGTAGTGACAGATTTTATTTTCCTGGGCTCCAAGATCACCCCAGACAGGGACTGCAGCCAAGAAATTAAAAGATGCTTGCTCCTGAGGAGGAAAGCTATGGCAAATCTAGACAGCATGCTAAAAAGCAGAGACATCACCCTGCCAACAAAAGTGCATATAGTCAAGGCTATGGTTTTCCCAGTTGCAATGTATGGCTGTGAAAGCTGGACAATTCCAAGGAAGGCTGAGTGCAAAAGGACTGAGGCCTTTGAATTGTGGTGCTGGAGGAGACTCCTGCGAGTCCCTTGGACCGCAAGGAGATCAAACCAGTCAGTCCTAGAGGAGATCAACCCTGACTGCTCTTTAGAAGGCCAGATACTGAAGATGAAAATCAAATACTTCGGTCACCTAATGAGAAGGAAGGACTCCCTGGAGTAGAGTCTAATGCTGGGAACAATAGATGGCAAAAGAAGAAGGGGATGGCAGAGGATGAGGTGGCTGGATGGAGTCACTGAGGCAGTTGGTGTGAACTTAGGTGGACTCCGGGAGATGGTGGAGGACAGGAAGGCCTGGAGGAGTGTTGTCCATGGGGTCGCGATGGGTCGGATACCACTTCGTGACTAACAACAACAATGAACTGAGAAGCACAGGCATCCCTCTTATGGCAGTTTTATACACATTTACTCAGTAGTCATACTGCTTTAGTGGGCTCTACTTCCCATGTACATTGGCACAGAGTTACAGTTTAAATCTCTTAACAGTACAATTTTATGCACAGTTACTTGGATAACATGTTCACAATCCAAAGCTTATACACTGGGTTGCAGCTTCATGGACTCATAGCCAGTGTGTGGGAAGAACCTCCCCCCCACCTCACTCCCAAATATCTTCTATTGTTCCGTATAGAAATGTAAGAAATAAATAGGCTACCCCAAGTTTCCCCCACCTTTTCCTGCTAGACCTCTGTGGTTAATTGAAGGTTTTTCCACATACAAGTCGCAATGATACCATACAATAGAAACTGCAATGAGGTGGTAACTGTTAAAGGTTAACTCTAAAATAAAGGGGTCACATCACCCCCAAAATACACATAGGGCACAATCCTATGCGTGGTTAGATATAGAATCATAGAAGGGCTGGAAGGGGCCAAGGCAGCCACCGAGTCCAAACCCCTTCTGGGGCAGGACACCAGTTACTGGACACCTCTCAGATAGCTGCTCCAACAACTCCTCGTAGGGCTGGCAGCAGCATCCTTTTGTTGAGCCCCTTTTCTGCCCGTACGTGCCTAGGATTCGAGGCATAGGACTCTTCTTCTTGTGCAACCATGTCCAGGATTGTAATTGTGGGCTTTCTCGGTCTAAGCATGTCTGAATAGTCCTTCAGGGTCGCTTTCTCGGCAAAGCGCCCCTCCTCACAATACGCTTGGCCACCAATGAGGGGGTTAGCAGGGCTGATGCTGACAGAAAACAAACAAACAACGGCAAAGCCGGCACTTTTAGACCCCAGCCCGCGTTGTTTTTCCTTTCCTTTTTCTCCTGGTGCCTGGAGAGGGGGCACCACCGGACTGGCGCAACCCCAAGGAGCCCGGCAGCTCCCGCCCGGCCGCGCCCGCTTCGCGCCACTCGAGCCCCTCTGGCAGCCGCCGCCCGTTTCCCGCCCAAAAACGCAGCAACGTTCGACGCGGGTGGAGGGGCAAGAGGAGCGCCAGGCGCGCGTTCCGCGCAGGGTCTCTGCTTCCCTCCACTGCGCATGTGCGGCTTCTCGACGCTCCCCCGTGTGGAGGAGGAGGAGGAGGAGCCAGGAGGCGGGGGGTGCCCCCTCTTGTGCGGGCGCAGCGCGCGCTGCCCTGGGCTTCCCATTCCGGCTTCCGGGCGGTTCCCAGGACGTGGCTCTCGCCTTTGGCGCGCGCGGGCTTTTGTGCTCGGTGCACAAAAGAGGTAAGCGGAGCCTGCACGTGCGTCTGTTCTTTCCAGGAGGGGGCGGCCCGCCTCCCCCGTCCTTCCTCTTCCTTCTTTCATAGTTAAACTAAGGAGATTCGCAGGACTCACCAGTTTGCACTAGCTTTAAAGGAGGGCTGGACAGTGTCGAATTTCCAATGTTTGCTAGTCCTGGTGACTACAAGTTAGCTCCAGTGTTGCAGGCAATGTGCCTCTGTACACCACTTGCTGGGGAACATGGGTGCGAGGATGCTGGTGCACTCAGGTCTTGTTGGAGGGTTCCCCACGGGCAGCTGGTTGCCCACTATGTGAACAAAATGCTGGACCCGATGGAGCCTTGATCTGAGCTAGCTTGTGTTTCTTCTGCTCTCCTCCTTGTTTGTGCTTTTTGGCCCTGGCTACAGATCTGTCTTTGATCCTCTTCTCGCTAAGTGGTTACGCTTAAGTACCACCTGGAGGAGAATTGGGCTTTCTGTCGTCTCCTCTGTTTTTGGCAATTTTTGGGGCCCCCCGACGGGGATGAAACGTCTTTGCAGGTTTATCTTTTGTCCTGTTGTGGTAATGCTATTATAGGATCTTTAAGGCGTCGAGGCAGGTTTAAGTTCTGCTCGTCGCATTCCCACCATCCTGTTAAAAGAATTTTGCTGAGCTGGAAAAAATGTAGAGAAGAACAACCTTAGTACCAAGAATCTTGAGCCATATTATGTATGAGGAAACACTTGGGACGCTGGAATTAGGAAAAAAACAGGTTGGGAAAAATAAAACAGTGGCATGGAACTGAGTGTGGAGGAATTACTTGTTCATAATTTTAGAACTGGGAGTGATAATAAAACTGGCTGGCTGCTGTTACTGAGCAATCAAGAAAAACTTATTTGCTCAGCTCAGTTAACGAGTTTAGTTTTTAACAACATTTACATAGCGCTCCTTATTTGAAACAAATTCATGGTCACAAAATGGGCTGATGTCCCTTTGTTTAGCGGTTCATATCTCCCCCAAAGTTAAACCAGCCTTCCTCACCCTGGTGCTCTCCAGATGTGTTGGATTGCAACTCTTGGCTAGTTGGTGGTGGGAGTTGGAGTCTGAAAGATACGAGGACAGGACACCAGACTGGGAAAGCTGAGTTAAACATTCACGGAGGTCTGCTAACAGCTTTTGAATATGATACGTAAATGAACCTTCTTGCTCAAGTGCATTCTGCCCCTGAATGTCAGCTGGGGAAGGAAACTGAAGACACACTGGCTTGACTGCATGTCATGAGAACCCAGAATGTGACTGGTTGTTAACATCCAAAGCCTGTACCGTGGTTTATCTGTGGTTTGTTAACAGCAAACAACCCAGAAAGAGAACCTATGGTTTATGTTAAGTTGTGAACTCTGGGCTCTTCATGGTCACCAACGCATAGTTAAACCATAGCACAACTTTTGCACATAAAAATAGCCCCAACTTTCAACAACAGCCCATATTCAGCCCATGCTTAACTCATATCCTGGGTTCTTCTTTATGTGAACCAGGGCTTCCTAGAGGCATCTGGATGGCCACATGTGGAAACAGTGCTGGGTCGAGTTTTGCTCTGCTGCTGCAACAGGGCATTGCCTTCTAAACACCCGTTTCTGTTGGTGCTCCATTTATATAATATTTATTTTACTTCAAGCCCTTCTGGCATAGAAGGTTGCCCCTGATTGTGTCATGCAACCTAATATCTGTAAGTGGCCATTGCTTTGCACAGTCTCAGGGAACTGCTGGAGCAGCTTGCAGAGATATTTGTCCTGGCATGTCCAGGCAGCTGAAAACAGTTCTGATTTCGATTTGCTGTTCCCCTTTCAGCTGCAGCTAGACAGTGAAGGTTATTTCCAAGCAAGAGCTGTTTCTTCACAGGTTTCTTCTTCTGCACAGTGCTTATGAACATATGAGGAAGAGAGCAAGCTGTGGAGGCAGGGAGGGCTTTTCTTACTAGTCAATAAGCTTAGGCAGGAAATTTTTAAATTTATTATTTTCACTTGGGAAAAACCTACCGGGAGCTTTGTGTAACCTTAAAGCTCACCAGGATCTGGTATACCATATTGCTAATATTTTAAGGCTGCAGTTACATCAGGACTTACTGGGTGGGAGTGATCCCTATTGAACTCAATGGGACTGAGTGCTGAATAGACAAGGATCCGATTGAGCTGCAAACCTCAAATTTCCTCTCTTCCTTTAAGAACTGAAAGGGTCTGCAGCATCGTAAACTGTGTACCACACCGTGGTTTAGGCCGAGCAACTATGTGCTTGCCTTCCTCTGCATCCTTTCATTGCTCACAGACTGCATTCTGAACTCTCGTTGAAAGCTCTGTTTATGTGGAAGCATGTATTCGGCAAGGATGGGAAAAGCCGGGCTCTCCACTCTATGTACTTGGCTTTACTGGGTCAGGACAAATTGTGCACCCCTGAAATATCAGGGGTATGTTGTGGGGTGCTTCTGATTTGAGGGTGCCTCTGGAATTGCGGCCATGACTGCATCCTAACAGCCCACGATTGTGCAAAGAAAACCTGTACTGGTTCCTAGCTTGCTTCTAGGCACAACTCTGGATGCTGCTTTTAACCGTGAAAACTCTTGAGAGCAGAAGAGCAGCCATACTGGATCAGCCTAGGGTCCTACTGGTCTAGGCTTCCGCTCACACAGCGGCCAGCTAACTTCCTGTGCTTCCCAGCACCTGAGCCTGCAAGCTGTATGTCAAGAAATCGAAAAACACGGTTTTGCAAAGAGGGGCTGTCATGCATCTGCATTCATTATTGTGTACTGCTCTCATCTCAAGGTCAGAGCAGAACTCCTGGCCAGCTGAAATCATTTAGTCTCACTGACCAGTGAGAACTCCCAGTGTCTGTCCCAAAGCCTGAGGAACTAATCAGCCAGCATGCGTTTGGCCACAGAAGCTCACCTTCCTTCCACCAAAGGCCCTAGAATATCAAATTGGGGAGGCAACTGCTCTTCGCCTTTGCTATCTGTTGTTTTTATTTAGTCTCCAAATTCTTTTTGCCTTGTAGCTCTTGGTGTGGGCCCTGCTCTGTTTGAAGACCTGTACTCAAGTCAGGTTCAGTACCTTGGGGCTTGCCCTCAAGTGCCATTTCCAAAGGTGGCAAGATGGTTCTGTTTCCTTGTATATTGTGCCTTTTCCTTTGATAATGAAACTTGCCAACTTTTGTAATAGAAAAAAAGTGTGCTTTATCCCAGCTAAGCCTTTGCCCTAAGGCCAGAGCTTCCCTTTAGGTTATTGCTATTATTTAATGTTTCAGTCTAGGACTTTGCAGCAGAGCATGCACTGGCTTGTGCCTCGATTTCTTAAGCCTGAGGGAGTCCTGTAATATCTGAGAGTCTCCTGGCTCAGGCTGAATTTGACCTGAGGGCTGGTGGCACCCTAGTTTAGTAATTATGGAATGAACCTCCCAGGGAGGTTCACCTGACACCTACCTTGAACACCTTCTGTCACCAGATGAAGACCTTATTTTTATTTATTTATTATTTATTTATTTGGAACACTTGTATGCTGCCCCATTCACAAAAGCCTCGGGGCGGCTTCCAATACAAATAAATACTATACAATTACATTAAAAATCTGGAGACACCCCGGGAAGATATAAAATCAATAAATAAATTTAACAATTAAAATAACGTTTAAATAAAAAGGTCTTGGCCTGGTGCCAAAAAACAAATAACGACGGCGCCAGGTGGACCTCTCTGGGGAGCGCATTCCATAGATGGTGCGCCACCACAGAGAAGGCCCTCCTCCGGGTACTCACCCTCCTAATATCTTTCACGGAGGGTTCCCGGAGAAGGGCCTCTGCTGCCGATCTCAAGGGGCGGGAGGGCAGATATGGAATTTTTCCAGGAATTTTACAAGGAAGTTTAGTTTTAGCCTGTTATAAATTCTGCCTCCTAGTTCTCACTTTTATTTGGTGCTATATGCTGTATATCCTGGGCTCCAAGATCACCGCAGATGGGGACTGCAGCCAAGAAATTAAAAGACGCTTGCTCCTTGGGAGGAACGCTATGGCAAATCTAGATAGCATAGTAAAAAGCAGAGACATCACCCTGCCAACAAAAGTGCATATAGTCAAGGCTATGGTTTTCCCAGTTACAATGTATGGCTGTGAAAGCTGGACCATAAGGAAGGCTGAGCGCCGAAGAATTAAGGCCTTTGGATTGTGGTGCTGGAGGAGACTCCTGCGAGTCCCTTGGACCGCAAGGCGATCAAACCAGTCAGTCCTAGAGGAGATCAACCCTGACTGCTCTTTGGAAGGTCAGATCCTGAAGATGAAGCTCAAATACTTTGGCCACCTAATGAGAAGGAAGGACTCCCTGGAGAAGAGCCTAATGCTCGGAACAATTGAAGGCAAAGGAAGAAGGGGATGGCAGAGAGTGAGGTGGCTGGATGGAGTCACTGAGGCAGTTGGTGTGAGCTTGAGTGGACTCCGAGGATGGTGGAGGACAGGAAGGCCTGGAGGAGTGTTGTCCATGGGGTCGTGATGGGTCGGACACAACTTCATGACTGGCAACAGCAGCAAAGTAAGCTGTAAATCAGGTTGTCCTTGATTTATAGCAATCTTATGAATGAGTGTCCTCCAAGATGTCCAGCTCAGCTCCTGTAAACTGTAGCTTATTTTATGGAGTCAATCAGTCTCTTAATTGGTCTTCCTTTTTCCTTCTGCCTTCAACTTTCCCTAGCATGATTCTCTTCTCCAGGTCTCCTCATGTGTCCAAAGTTTGACAGCCTCAGTTTTGTCATTTTTGCTTCCAGCAAATGTTCTGGCTTGATTTGATCTAGGACATACTTGTTTGCCTTTTCGTTGGTCCAGGATATTCACAAAGCTTTCCTGCAGCACCATGTTTTGAATTCATCCATTTCTTCCTGTCACCTTTCTTTACTGTCCAGCTTTCACACTCACACATTGTGATTGGGAATGCCATCCTGTGAATGATCTTACCCTTGGTCTGCAGTAAAACATCCTTACACTTGTTGATCTTTACTGGTCCCTTCATTGCAGCCCTTCCAATCTCAGTCTTCTAATTTCTTGGCTGTACTCTCTCTTTGAAGTGATAACTGGGCCAAGGTATGCAAAATCTTTCACAATGTCAATTTCTTTATTTTTGACATGAAAAGTGTGTAATTCTTCTCTAGTCATAATCTTTTTGTTCTTAACATTCAGCTGCAGGCCTTCTTTTGTACTTCCTTCATTTCCTTTAGGAATAGTTTACTTTATATTTTAGTCTTAACTAAATTTAAGTTTATTTAACTGTACTGTTTACCTTTTTCTGCATTTTACATTGTTGTGAACCACCCACACAGGTTTAGCTATTGGCTGGTATGAAAATGAATGAATGAATGATTTCTTGCTTTTGCTGCTGGGATGTCTCTGTTCTTCCCTTTATATAGTATATAGTCATTGATCTTTTTATCTTCAATGAATTTGTCTAACCATCTTCCATGTTGGCTGCTCTTACTGCATTTTGTGGTAGCAAATTCCATAGCCTCAGTCCTCCCGCACCCCATGTTTGGCAATCCAACCTGACATATGTTTCTCTGTGTGATACTTTGATTGCAGCTTAAATTGCTGGTTTCTCTAGCAAATTGCTAGAAACATGTCGACAGGACACAGATACTAAGTTCTTAGTCACTATAAGGGATAGATATTGGTTGCTCCTTTTTGTTCATAATAATGAAATTTCTGAATGAGCCAAACTCTGCACCCAGTGTCCCATTCTATGGATGGTGGTGGTTGAGTTGGAGCAGGCTTACACTGTGTGTGTGTGTGTGCGCGCACACACACATACTTGCAGTCCTTCCTTTATCCTGCGGTTAGTTGGTGTCTGAATCCATTACTCATCACAGTTTGTTACTGAGCTGATTAAATTGTGTATTTCGTTGCCCTGTGCTTACCAAAGGCAGCTTCTGCTACGGTTTGCACTGCACGCTTTTAGTCGTGGCTGCATGACACAACACAGTTCACAATGAGTTATTTAAACCATTGTGAGCTGCAATGCATGCGAGCTGCAAATCTTTATCTACAACTCCCCCCCCCACATTGGGGGTGATGATTGTTGTTGTTGTTGTTGTTAATAATAATAATAACAACTTCATTTTAATACCTCTCCATAGCTGAAGCTCTCTGGGCGATTTTCAGCAGTGATAAAAACAATACAATACCATAAAAACAAAATGAATTTAAAATAGGGTATAAAAGCATGCAGTAAAAAGACCCTGCATAGGAAAAGAATACTTGGATAATCCCATCAGGTAATCAAGATTTTTCAAGGCCTGCACTTAAGAAAATGGCAAGTTTGGCTCCAGGTGGGCTGCAGGGGGGGTTCGGGGGGGGTCTACCACAGAGAAAGCCTTCTCCCTTGTTGCCACCCTCTGAGCCTCCCTTGGAGTTGGCATTTGGAGTAAGTCCCCAGAGGTTGAACATAGTGTCTAATGGAGAGGCACTTTGACGGGTACTGGAGTCCCAGGTTAAATCCAGCACCTTCAGGTGAGACTGGAAGCATACAGGTAGCCAATGCAAGAGGGCCAGAACCTGTCTTATTAGACCTACAGGTCTCAGTTATTAATCTGGTAGCTGCATTCTGCATGAGCTGTATTCAGAGGCAGCCCCACACAGAGTGCTTTGCAGGAATCTAATTTAGAGATCACCAGAGCATAGATTACTGTCCCTGTACAGGTGGGGGCGCAGCTGGTAGAAGGCACTCCAAGCCATCAATGCCACCTGAACCTCAAGTGACAAAGATGGATCAGGCAGCTCTCCCAAGCTATGGACCTGCTCCGGGGGGAGTGTGACCCCCGTCTAGAACAGGTTGAACACCCCCTGTCCAGTCAAAGGAAGCAACCACAAACAGCATATTTGTTTTACCTGGATATATTGTGCCAAAGATGGGCAATTTGCATAACCAGTGGTGAGAAATTGTGGGAGTTGCGGGCAAGTTGCCTGCCTCTGATTTAGAAGGTTGAGGGTGGTGTTTGTGTTTGCTTAAATGAATGAGAAAAGGCAAGGGGTGGGGTGGGGGGTCTGTTGTATGGAACAGTTCTGTGGTACAGCAGATTATTTCTATATTGATTGTGCTGAAAACATTTTCCTTTAATTGCAGGGAAGGCAGGCAACCAGTAGAAAAGAAAAAAAACCATCCATACTGAACTGGAGCATTTTAAAGTGGAAGCAGCTGCATCTGAAACACTGTTGGAAAAAATCTGTCTAAAACAATGTAAGCACAACTGGGGAGAATGGGATTAGCTGATGTGCCATTTCCCTCCATAGAATCCTTACCCCACCCAACTCTAGTACAAAACAACTCCATACATCCCTGCAGGGATGCTTACAGTTCCCCTGGAACATTGATTGCCCAGTGAAATGATCAATTTCCTTTCTTTTGTTTCAAATGTTTTTGAGTGGTTGTTGCCTGCCTGCTGTCCTTGGATTTCTGAATTGTGGGTGTGTGAGAAAGAGAGAGAGACAGAGAGAAGGATTAAGGCAGGCTTCCTCAGATTGCAGGCCGTCTTTTGGATTGCAGTTCCAGCACCTGGAGGGCATCAGGTTTGAGCCAGTGACTCCACCTTTCCTGCTCTGGACAGCTGACTTTGCCTTTTATACAGTCAGGGCCTTGGGCTTGAATTTGAAAGGTGGAGAGATGTCACAAGCTGGAAACTGCCATTTACCTGGTCAGGCAGTTTCTGTTTGGTCGATTCCAAGGACTGAGAACCCAGTGTCCTGCAGATATTTTGGACTACAGCTTTCAGAGTGTCTGACCATTGGCCGTCCTGATTGGGGCTGATGGGAGTTGCACTCCAAAACATCTGGAGGGAGTTGCCTACCCCTGATCTGTCCTGATTGCCAGCAGCCTTCAGGGTCTTGGGCAGAATTGTTTCCCATCACCTGCTGCTGCATCCTGTAGATACCAGAAGTTGGTCATGGGGACCTTTGCTGTGCGGAGGAGCAACTTTGGTACTGAGCTGTAGACACTGAGATAGTAACTTAGTTACTATCTTTGAGAATAATTATTAAGATTCTGTTTCTGTACCACCCAAAAGCCAAAGCTCTCTGCGTAGTTCACCACAATTTCTCAAAAATACAAAAAAGAGATACCATAAAAATACAGATATAATAAAAACACAATCTAAAATGACAGTATACAAGTTTAAAGCAGTTTAAAATTCCAATACAAGCATGTAAAACAGTTGGAGCATGTAAAACAATTTCTGTAAAGCCAGGAGGGTTCAGAAGGAGGTCGTCTGTGGTTCCATCCCGAGTGTCTCCAGTGAAGGCTGAAAAATGCTGCCTGAAATTCTGGAAAGGCAGTTACTGCAAAGTGACAAGATGGACTTAATGGTTAGTGGTTCCTGGTTAATGCTGCCCCCTCAAGAGCGTCTGCTTCATGGCATGCACTGATCTTGCCTCTCATTTTAGAGTCCCAGCTGTTGCAAAAAGCATCCATCTATCTAGTAGATTTATATCCCACCTTTTTTATTGCAAAGAAAGCAGCTTATGTCTTTCTCCTCCTGCTGTTCTCAATCTCATCCCAAGAACAACCTTGTGAGGTAGGTTGGGCTGAGAGTCTGGCCCAACATCAGCTTGTTGATTCCATGGCTGAGCAGAGACTAGAATGCAGATCACCTCAGTCCCGTGTTCTTAACCACTGCACCGCAGTGATGTAGTGAATATACAGTGAACAACACTGTACATGTCAAATCTGACAGGATGAGTACCCATCGCCTTACTATTCAGATCCTACTGTTCTTTCTGCATTTGAATGAATATCCCAAAGTTGTTCATTTACCTGGGTACTTATTTAGAGATACGGAGTGCTTAAACAAATGTATGTAGTTGGAACATCTTTTTCTCCTTTCTAAAAATAGTACTGTTGCGAACACATATTGTGAATGGATATCGTTTCTGTGTTCTTTGTTGTTGTTAGTTGCTCTTCCCCCCCTTGTTTTGTAATACTTGCAAAATAACAAAAAGACAGATTTCTCTGCCCCTGATCTGTTTAACAGAATGTCTGAACCTGCCCATGGAGGCTCCTTTGAGCTTCCAGTGAACATGCAGGTGGGTCTGGTGGACACATTTCCTGCATATGTACTAACTGAATAAGCAAGGCCTACTAATTGGCTGCTATAAAAACACCAACATTTTTAAAAAGTGGAGGATAGAAGACGATTCTAAACCCTTCAGGCTGTGATTCCTTTTGAGGGGCAGAAAACTTGCAGGTGTTTCTTTCAAATTATTTGTCTCTTCCTCCTCCCTCCTGTGTCCACAGAGTACAAACCTCTCAAATCCAAGACAATGGGCAGGCCCAGGAAAACCTCTGGCAATGTATCATCACCTCAGGCTGATGCCGCCGTGCCAAAAACAGCCCCGGCAACCCCGCAGTCTTCTGCCTCTTCCAAGACTGTTCCCACAAGCGGTAGAGCATCGCGTGCTCCTGCTTCCAGGAGTGAAGGTGGCAGGCAAGGGCAAGGGGTAAAGCCAGCCTGTGCCGCAAGTCCCAGAGGGACAGGACAGACTTGCCAAACGAGGTCCACGGTGGCATATGGTGCTGAGCAAGCAGATGCTAAGAGCAGCCGTGGAGCGAGATCCAAGACCGCAGCAACAGCTGGGGCAGCCCTGTCACATGCTGAGCCCCCCGCAAGCGCTGCTGGATCCAAAACCCAGAGCAAAGCTGCTAGGCCCCAGGGCAAAGCGAGTCTTCCCTCCCCGCTCCCAGCCACGAAAGTGGCTGAAATAGAGAGAGAGACACGGGGCCAGCGAGTAAACCCTGAATGGCACAAGTGGAGGGAAAACCGTATCACGGCCTCTGTGGCCCCCAAGATCGCCAACAGCAAGTTTGTGAATGGGCGGAGTTCCGAGGTGCCGAAGTCATACCTCAAGGCTGTGGTGGGACCCGGCTCCGCAGTGCAAACCCCAGCCATGTCCTGGGGCATCCGAAATGAGAAGAAGGCGGTTCAGGAGTACGAAGCGCTCAAGTCCAGCCAGTCCAAGACGCCAGTGAAGGTTGAGGACTGTGGGCTCTTCATTGACAAAGGGAACTCTTGGCTTGCTGCCAGCCCTGATGGCATTGTCCGAGAGGCTGATACTGGCGAAGAACTTGGCGTTCTGGAGGTCAAGTGTCCCTACAAGCACAGAAACAAGACCGTGACAGAAGCTTGCAAGGATAAAACCTTCTGCCTGGAGAAAGCAGGAGATTCCTACTCCTTGAAAAAAAGCCACCCCTATTACACACAGGTGCAGTGCCAGATGGGAGTCACTGGCCTTGACAAGGCGGATTTTGTGGTTCACACCAACAAGGAGACAGCAATCGCCCCCGTTGATTTTGACCCTGTTTTCTGGCAGGAGACGGTGCCCAAGCTGGAGAAGTTCTACACTGATGCCGTAGTCCCTGTTCTGGAGGAGAAGGAACGGGCTGCAGTCTGGGCAAAAGAGGAATGATTCGCAACATCCCTCTTCTAGTTGTGCCTTTAGCCTGCAATGTATTGCTTACCCCTTTCTGCTTTCTCACCCAGTAGTACAAGTCAACTCATTGCCCCTCTGCACCTCAAGCCAACCTTGGAAATAAAGAGGAGCCCAGGATTGCCTGCCATCTCGCTCCCCTGCCACTTGCCTGTCCGTGTTGCAGGAAGAAGGCCTCCGCGGCTGTTTATCCTTTGTCCATGTTGCATAAAAAGTAATGCTGTTTTTTCCCATGGCTGCCAGGCTAGGCAAGATTCAGTGTTGCTGTGTTGCCATTTCTTCTGCAGCAAGTTGGTTGTCCCAGCGGCTTGTCCATGCTTCCAGGGGCCAGGCAATGGGGATAACATGATGGGGGGAGCGGGAGAATGCACCGTAATGCCACTCACTCCACACAACTGGCAATTCCACAGAGGGCTTAACAGTTCCATGTCAGTTCTGATTGTAACTCAGCTTAAAGCTGGGACCTTGGGATGTTCTGATTTTTCTTATAAGGCAGAGCCATATTTGACAGGATGCTTATACTTCCGTCCTGAACCAATGCAAAAAGGTTTTGTTTTTCTCAAGAAATGACTCAGGTGATGTTTACTGAGCTGGATGGAAAAGAAATGGATGGCATGCAGTTAAAAGTCAGAGGTCTTGAGCGTAAATCAGGACCAACCTGAACTCTGCCGTTCATCTTAGGAATGGACTCCTGTGAATTGTGTGAAAGTTTAGCTCTGCACAAGGACATAGAAGCATAGAAGTTACTGATTACTCATTTAGCTATGAATCCTGCTGATATTGGCCAACAAATTAAAACCTTGTACACCCCTGCCATCCAGCTAAGAAGATAGGTTGCTCCTTTCCTGCATCCCAATGTCGATTTAGACATAGGGGGTTTCTTTGCTGCCATGTTAACTGAGAACTGCAGGAACATCTTGGTTTTTGAAGCCACCTGCAACTTGGGGAATAAAAAAATGTGTATTTAGAAAATCGTAATTATGTTTAAAATCTGCTTATGATCGTTGCATCTTTGTTTAGCACAGAAACTTAGTTCTTAGGACATAGAAAGCCAGCCAAATTGTAGAGCTTGATTGCTGTTTTTGCCCAGTTTCTCTATGTAGAATGAAGTCTATGTCCAATAAAAGCATTCACTTAGCATAACCTTGTCCTGTGGCGTTGATACAGCTGGAAGATAACAAACTTGTGTGCTTTTACTAATAAAGCCTTCAGGTGTTCCTTCCTATCATATAGAAACGTGATTGGGGGAATGTGCTAGCAACAGATAGGGTGTGTCTCCCCCCCCCACCGTTTCAACACACAACACCCCCAAAGGGCTTAAGTCTTGGAAAGAGCAAATTTGCATGCCCAAGTATCTCTGCCAAAAAATGAGGTGGCTGACAATGAGGCACAAGATCAGAAAGCCAGATGGAAAAAAGCAGCTTCATTTTCCTGCCTTCTGGAAGCTCAGCCTGCTTCATTAGCTTTACTACATGTAATTCCTATTCAAATGCCGGAGCAGCAATCCTGCAGAAAGTTAACTGTTAAATTAAAACTGATCTGGAATCATTGAATGCCAGGTCTAGCTTAAGAGGGGGTGGCTTGTCAGAGTCACAAGTGCTTCTTACATTGTTGATCTAAGAAAATACGTGCCCAAGGTTTGTCTCTGAAACAGAGAACTGTGTTAGCCAACATTACACAGCCACAGACCAGTCAGCATGTGTATTGACAAGTAAATAAGTAGAAAGCATTACTTTAATGATTAAAGGTAAAACGAACAAGTACTAAACACAAGGCAGCAGTGAAGCATCAACATGGGTTTTGCAAAGACCAGTTCTAGAGTGCCGGCACGCCAGACAACGGGCAGTGGTTTGTGCACTTGAGCTTTCCACACAAGTAACAAAATTTCTGATCTTCTGATTGTTGTGTTGGGAGTCACCCTGTCCGGACCATGGCTGCAGCAGCAGTCAAACTCTTAAGCTGAAGCAACCACTAAGATCTGGACTGCCTGATGCAACCAGGGTCTCCAGCACCTGGGGCACATTGTTTTGAAGGTTTGGACAGTCAACAAAGTGACAAGAGTGGAGTGGTCTTCCAGTCCAGTCGCTCCTTGAACAGGGCCATCTCCAAAACAAAGATGATCCCTGAGTGAAGGTTCTGGGTGTCTTCGTATTATCCAGTGGAGCTGCCCGTAACTCCCTGGACTCAGAATTGTGGGCAACCAGAGGAATGTGGGAGTGTCCCTCGCCCTCCAAAGTGCCTAGCTCCCCCTCTTTGTACTCCTCTTCACATGAGCTGCCCTCAAAACAGGCTCAGCTTTCATTGCACTGAAGCAAACAGAATGAAGACACAACCGATTAAAAGTATTTTTTTATTCCATACATAACACTCTAGACACTCAGCATAGAGCAAGGACCAGAATACACTACATCTGTAATAGAAAGTGACTAACTATAAAAGTGTAAACACTTTGAGGGGACAGAGGGCTACTGACTGAATCATGGGGTCGCCCCCTAAATTCACATACAGCATGGCAGAGCAGTCTGTCTTAAGTAGGCCAAGACCCATCTCAAGCCACGGTAAGTCCCTTGCACTATGAAAATAGGGCTGAAGGTACAAGCACGGCCCAATATGATGTGTGTGTATCGGATGCGATAAAGGCACATGGGTCCAATTGAAGAGGCTCCACAGACTCGTTACAGAGTGCAGGTAGACCAGTCTTCTCCTAAAACAATCATTAGTTTGCTGGCATGACTTCCCCAAGAACAAACAGTAATAGTTTGCATAGCAGACAGATCCCGTTCTTCCGGCATTCCCCATATTTCAACTGGGTGAAATACCAGCAGTGTGAGCAGCTTGAAAATAAAAGCAGGACCCAATCTACTTCTTCACTGCGGCTCACTAGCTCGCTCTCCTTCAGACTCTAAAATTGGGGAGGGCAACCTCTGGCCTGCGGAGGGTTGAGCACCTTCTGCCCTCCCCAAACCTCGGCAGGGGGTGGGAGGAAGGAGAGTCCCCACCAGAGGGAGGGTCTGGTGCAGAGAGAGATCTCTTTATCCGTTTCTTTGGAGACGTGCTGGGGATCTCCCCACACCTCTCGGCCAGGACTGGCAGAAGCCAGCTCATGCAAGCGCTGGCAGAGTCTTTCCCTTGCTGCATGTGCCCCAGCTGGGGTGTGAGCGGGGCAAGGAAGAGTGGCCTGGCTCAGCGAGGGCTGGCAGGGCCGGACTCACTTCTCTGTGCCTCTGCAGGAGGTTCTCTGTGGTTTTTAAAAAGTAGGTGGGCAGTTGACATCACGAGGAGTCCCCCGCCAGGACTTCACTGGCTGGGATGATCCAGGGTATAATCAGGTCCCTGGACCAAGAGCGGCTGCCTTCCCATCCACCCCGCTGGTACTAAAGTCTCCGGAGCAGCCCCCCCCCCCCCACCACTCCTGCCAACAACTTTAGGGTACAATCCTACACCTGTTTAAGCAGAAAAGATTCTTACAACATCCAGGATTCCTGAAGTATGGTTGCCTGGAGAAAGGTGAACATTGTAGGACTTCCTCCCCACACCCCTTACCATGTATAGGGTTACACCCAGCCTCTTCCCACAATCCTGCGTTTCCTTTAAAAAGTAGTAGTGCAACAGCAAGTCATGAGTGGGTGATTGTGGAGTAAGCACAGCTAGACACTTTCTAGGAATCTGTTTACAAAGTATTTACAGTAAGCAAATATTGCCACCACACTCCAGTTAGTAGCTAGCCTAGAACTGGAATACCACAGTCTCATGGCAGGAACTAGGAGCCGTGACCACAGCACAGAGGTTTTGCTCCATGGTGCTTTTCGTGATAACAGGGAAAGCAGACCTGCTGTTCGGCCGTCACGACGTTCCCTCCCAAGCAGTCTGCAGAGGAAGACAACTGCCCTGTTTCGTATGTGCTTTACTGTACTGATTTAGGGTTCCAGGGGCTTCCCAGCTGATTTCCCAAGGCGCCATTCAGGTCTAGGGGCAAGGGAACAACCAGAGACACCCTGGGGCATAGCCATTCAAATTTAAAGTGAGCAGCTTCTGTACCGCAAAAGTACCGACTTTGGGCCAACTCCGGGTAGGTTGTTGAGGAAAGGCACCAGTCCCTGCCTGCACAAGGCAAAGAGGCTTCTGGCTGACTTTAGTGCACTGTGCACTGGAAACCAGCCACTCGTGTCTGCCAGGCACCTTTGCAACTGCTGCTCTAGTGTAACCCTGAGATCTCGACAGCACAGTTTACAGGCCCTTGTGAGAAGACAATGCGTTGTTCCCCCCCCGCCCCAAATCTCGAGCGAGATGCACATTTCAGGCTTGGGACATGGGGGGTCCTCACATATTTCCCAGGGAAGTCCTTGCATTTTGATTGTCTTGCCAACAGGGACCCACAGCCCGAGCTTAGAGGGGACCCACCCCTTTGCCAAGCCAGAGTCAGTCGCAGAAGCGCTTGCGGGGGACGGTCCGGGCTCTGTTTGAACGGCGGATCTCCTGCTTTGCATCACGGCATCGCTGGCAGATGAAGATGTCAGGCACGTTGGATTTGCGTATCTTGGCACAGGAGAGGTGGATCCAAGTGGCACACTCACTGCACTCTATCATGGGTCTCCCAGCAAAAGGCTTTAGGCAGAAGCAAGTGATGAGATCCCAGGCGTCGTCTTCTGCAGGACACGGCACAGCGTTAGGAGCAGAACCACAACCGGTGTTCTGCACGCGAGTTGCTCAGGCCGCGTGCGACGCAGACCCCCGAGTGAGTCGGCTGCCCCCCACCCCCCAGTTGAGAGCCAGTTGGCCAAAACACATTTGCTCCCCCGTAATACCCCATGCTCTACTCACCATCTGTTTTGGTGTCCGAGGCTGCAGAAAACTCCTCGCACAAAGCTGTGGGAGGGAAAAAAGCGTAGATGAATAGCAGCCTCTGGCCTCTCTTCTCATTCCGTGCCGAGCAAGGCTTACAACACACTTCCTTGGGTATTACACTAAACTTCCCATCCCCCACCTGCCCAGGTACACACACTCAAAGCTCAGACTCTAGAAAGAGGCGCATGCAGCACTCCAATCCCCACAACGATTCAAGGCAGATTACTGGCACTTCCAGAAGTAAGGAACCCAGATACCCAGTGATGGGAAGAACTGCTGGAGACCCTGGAGATCAGCTCCACCTGACTCAGCAGTACTAGGTGGAACAGTGATTTGGATCTATAGCAGGCAGGTTGGCACATGCAAAGGAAGTGTCCCAAAGCGGTTTCTGCACACTTACTACTGAGCCGGGAGTCATCTCTTTTAAGTTCTCCCTCTCTGCTCTGCTCCGTGGTGTTCCAACAGGGAGGGCTGATCTTCTCCTCCTTGCTTGCGTCCAGCTCCTCAGGCTTCTCCACTGCCTGCGTCCCGTGGATCCAGTCCTTCTCCTTCATGCACTGCTCCAGAAGAGACTTGGGCTGGAGCTCTTCCCCCGGGAGAGAGGATTCAAGCTCCTCCGCTTTTCTGCTTGTCTCCTCTCCTGGCTCAGCCCCGTCCTGCTTAGAGTCCTTCATGCTCACTGGCATCACCCTCTTGTCCACCTCGTGGTCTAAGACGAGCTTCTTTGCCACTGGCTTCCTCTTCTTGGTTTGCTGGGGGCGGCTTGTGCAGAAACTGCTGGAAATATCGGAGCAGTTGAGCAGCAGTTCTCCAGCTCCCTTGCAAGTTGTGTTCTTTCTCCCTCCATCATCAGACAGCACCTGGGAGTCGCAAGACTGAGATGAGGGCCAGCAGTCACTGTCTTGGGTGCTGCCCGTGCTGTTCTGGGGGCTCATGTTGCCTCGATGGAGCCAGGGCTCATTCTGGAACAAGAGGAAAAAACAAGAGGTTTACATGGCTTCAGTCTTCCATTTGGAAGAGAACAGAAACTACCAGCAGGCAAGGCATGATGAAGTGATCTATGTTATTGTATTATTATATTTATATTCCTTTACACAATCTTCCTCTTCTCCATTTCAGCCTCACAACAACCCTGTGAGGCAGATCTAGCTGAGACTCTGCCACTGGTCCAAAGTCACCCGGTGAACCACATTGCTGAGTAGAGACCAGACCCTGAAGCTGCTAAACCCTCTGCCCAACAACCTCACCATTATACTCACACTGGATTTAGCTCTCCCATTAACAAACCGTAAGCCACCTTACCTCTTTTGGGTATGGGATGTAGCCTGCATAGGCCAGCACAAAGGTACAGAACTGGTTGAAGTCTTCAACCGTTCTTTGTCTTTTCTGTGGTGGCTGCAAAGACACAAACATTCAAGAATCAGAATCTCCGCTTGGTCAGATATGCACATTTAGCAAAACGAAACAGCCACACATAATTTTTGTCATTGCAATCTGGAATAGGCAAACTTTTTGCACCGCCGGAGCAATGGCGCACAGTATATACAATAGGACAACTTATGAAGGGAAGCCCAGATAACCCCCAGGGCGGCTGTCTTGAACAGGTTTGCGATGCACGTCTCACTCATCCCTTCTACGTCCCTCCACGCAAAACCATCACCATGTCTTTGGTCTGTGGTGATTGCTCAAAATCCAGTTTGCAGTAGGAACAAAGGAAACAGCCTTATACTGAGTCAGTATTTGACAAATTCTCCACGGCTTCAAACAGAAGTTTCCCCAGAGTAGCAGATACCACAGATGGAACCTGGGCCCTTCCACAGCCAAAATATGGGGCACACGCCTTTGCCTCAGAGCCATCAAGTACCTTAGCACAACACAGGGGAAGAGGACATGCAAACGAGGCTTGACTTGCCAAGCTTCCTGAGTTAGGGAGAGAATGCAGGGTGGTGCAGCTCCCTGCTCCCCATAACCACAGAAAGCGGCCAATTTTGTCTTTGAAAACCCAAAAGGAAGAACGACGAGATCCAGGGCTACATTTCAGAACAGCGGCAGACAAGCCCTCCAGGGAAAAGAATTCTCTTGCTGCTTGAGGAAGATAATAATAATAATAGCGTGGAAATGTCGAGACATCTCTCTGGAGATACCCTATCAGAGCAAACAAAGCAAAGGTAGCCTAGCCCTGCAGACAAAGGGAAGCCACACACAATCAACTTTCAGCCACAACAAGGCACACCGATCTGGGTGGCTTTCAAAGAGAACTGGGCAAAGCCATGGAGAACATGGCTAGCAGTTCATGGCTGCCAGTCTTGATAGCTCTATGGTAACACTAGTATCAGGAATAGGACAGCCATTCATGCCAGTTGCTGGGGAGCATGGGCCAAGGGGTGCTGTTGGGCGCAGGTGCTGCCTCCGGGTTTCCTGTGGGCAGCTGCATTGTGTGAACTCTCTCAGGGGAGTTGGGAACAGAACTGTCAGCATCTCCCAGCTGTGGCAGCTACTCAAGGAATGTCCAGTGGACCAGGGCTTCGTCGGTTGTCTCTCTGGGCCCTTGCAAGACTATGGAATGCAGGAATTCCCAAAAACAGCCACGGAGGAGGGGAATGCGTTCTTCTCAGGCAGTATCAAACACAATGAAGGGAATCAAATTGTCGCCCTAAATGGGCTGGAGGCTCGGCAGGCAAGCACCTCCACTCGAATGCTTCCCATCCAGGGCAACAGGTGAAGGCAGCACTCCTCGCGGCCACCCCTGTGCCGCATAAGCGACTACAGACCAGCACCACCAGTCTAGAAAAGGAGGGAAGCTACTTCTAGATATTAAATTTGGGGAGGGGCATTCTCAGACCAAGTCAATTAACCGGGAGAGTGAAATTAAAACCCAATCCGGGAAGCAGGTTTTCCCTTCGAGAGCAAGACCATATTCGCCTTTTCAGGAAGGGGCAGGGGAAGCAAGAGGGGCCGCGGCCCCAGCTTACTTCCGACCACCAAACCCATCCCCAAGGGGAGGGCCGTGCCCACAGAGCAGAGCGCCGAGGGACAACACCCTTCAGTGCCATCCTTGGGGCAGGTTACTGAGAGGGCGTGAGTTATGGGGGGCGGGAATCCGGGAGGACGAACTCTGGTCTGAATCTTGCACCCTGAAAAGCTCCAGGCAAAAAGCCGCGGGGGGTGGGGTGGGGGCAAAGAGCAACGCGCGTAGAAAAGACATGCACTAACGGGCTCTCCGACCCGGGGCGGGGGAGGCCCGGCTCCTCCTTATTTTCCCCTTCCCGCCCGCAAGGACAGCCTCCTCCATGCCTGACGCTTCCAGCTTCTGCACCGCTCTGCAAGAAGCCCCCCCGGCGCCCCCGGGGACCAGCAAGATCACTCCCACCCCTACCGATCGCTCCCAAGATGGCGCCTGCGCTGCCGCTGCCGTCCCGGGAGAAGACGGGGGAGGACCCCCCC